TATATATAATGCCCAACTGATAGGCTATGATGTAACAATACTTACTTAATTAGGACAATGAGAAAAATACTGAACGTTCGTCACAAAATTATTAAAGCCTTATTCGCTTTGCTACAGTATAGAGACTTAGGTCTTAAAGACCTGGGAGGGTCAGGTTCTTGTGACCTCTTCCTCCCTTCTGACTACTGTTAAGTTGATTCTGTTGAATATAAATATGAATACAACATGAGGGTCAGAGTAAACCACACTTACTCCGACCCATTTCAGGATACTACAGCGTAGTATAACAATTAAACTGCATACAAAACGCTTAACTCGTACAAAGTTACGTAATGAAGTTTGTCATAGCTATCCCTTTTAAAGCAATCAACCTTCAACACTCCTGTCATAAAAACTAAACAATCATTAAATATTAATTCACAACAGTCTTGTTTGTACAACAATGAGCCCATACAAGTTAACCGTAGATGCTACATTATTTTATATCATCACTTAACATGGCTTATGACATACTCTTAAACAACTGTAATGACATTTGTTCCTTAACTTGTGGAATGCGATGTTATTAAAAGGGAAATAGAACCTGCTAACAACAAGAACATAACAGTTTCCTTATTTTAGCGCAAAGATATATAATATGCTACATGCTCTTTGTCCATTGCGTGGAACCAAACCCCGGATTTTGGTGTTCTAAATCCATTAACTTACCGCTGACCCACTCGGGGTACGAACATAAGAGACGTCTCCATTTTATATATATTGCTTCAGGAGACTTTGAAGTATACCCAATATTATACAACACCTATTTTTAGAAATGTATCATACCACCATAATCAACCTTAAAACCGCAAAGAAATGCAGTAATCCTGTAGCAGGCAAGTGTTATAAGTGTAGCATTTCCATAACTTAGAAATACATATATTCAGGTAGTTTTTCGAAATTTTTATACAGGTAGTCTGTGATTAGCTAGTCGTTCAAAACAGGATGTATTAGCTGTGACTAATTTTAATCCTGATCATGTCCCTAGGCAATTTCTAATGACTAATCCAAATGTGTCTACCTCTGTAAGTGGCCAGTACATTAGGGAAGTCTTTGCTTACTTTATACAATCTCTGTCGTGCTGAACATACAGAAGTTTTACACATGAAATCAAAAACGTCCTGTTTCGTTCATGGCCTGGTGGTTAGGATGCTTGACTCACAATCTAAAGGTTGCGAGTTCAAATCCCGTCACAGAACATGCTCGCCCTTTCAACTGCAGAGATGTTATAATGTGATGATCAATCGCACTTTTTGTTGGCAAAAGAGTAGCCCAAGAGTTGGCAGTGGATGGTATTGACTAGCTGCCTTCCTTCTAGTCTATCACTTCTTAATTAATGATGGCTGGCGTAAAAAGTCTTCAAGTAGCTTTGCGCGAAATTCAACAAACGAACAAGTCATTCAACGCCGCCATATTGGACATAAAATATTCTCTTCTAGTAATCAACAGCAATTCACATCAATAAAAGATTCAATAAAGTTTTATGTGCTGTCAATGGTGTAAACATCGACTTTGATAAAAAATATTGATCCACAATTCTACTGCTATTCAGTTTCTCGATGTATATATTTCTTTAAGCCATCGCTAAGATGATTAACAGAGTCAAATAACACGACACTCGATGACATTCGCCATTTTCACCTGAGATGAACGTAAGCACTTTACGTCCAATATGGCGGAGTACTATATATCACGTGACTTTTGACACCATTGCAAGAATCTTCAACATAAATACACAAACAAGGAACTCTGTTTTCTCTTTCACAATAAATGACCCTAGTCTCCTGAGTTGGCATCCTCAGAAACCCTGATAGTAATTGAACTTCATTATTGACCCAAACAATTCTTCAATTCAGGTTCTTTACATCAGACCCTCAGTGGCACAGCGGTATATCTGCTGACCTACAACACTAGAAACCGGGTTTCGATACCCGTGGTGGGCAGAGCACAGATAGCTCCTTGTGTAGCTTTGTGCTTAACTACAAACAAACAATCGTTACATCAGATTGTACACCTTCTGCCATATATATATAAGCCAGACATTATCAAAAGGATCACAAAATTCAAATAACATTTTCGCATTTCTCAATAAAATTTGTTTTTCATTTCAAAATGACTTATTAAAACTCGTTGTACTTTTTAAATTGTTTTTGAGTGATTAAGTTTGAACTGAATACTTGTCCCTTTTCACTTGGTTATCCTTTTAAGACTAAGTGAAGGGTGGGAAAACCAAACCTAAAAATATTCCACTTTCTTTAAGTACTTGTTTTTTACCTAAAGTATTTATGTCCCAAACTGTTTGTTGATTCATGTCTTCTATTTTTTTATTTTATTTTTTGGTTATAGAGTTATATGACACATAGAAAGAAGTAAGCAAACGTACCATTAATATTGCAATTAATACCGATAATCACTAACGTCAGTTTAAACCTTAGTCCACTCTATGTGTTTTTAAGCAGTGCATGATGTCATCGCTTAATCGTAATAACTAGTAGTAATTAAAAAGGAAAAATAATAATTTTAGTGTAAACAATGGTTTCATTACCCCTTAAAGTTAGCTTTCTAAAAATATATCGAGTTCCTTTAAAAAGCTTAAATATAGGGTGAAACAGGAATTAGCATGCAATAATAGATGTACATCACATGACTGTAACATGTATAATACTCAGTTCTTTGTACACTATACAATCGGTGTCTTTAAGAAGCCAACTCCTATATTATGTACGCAATGAAGGAGGAAAAAATCAATACACTTAATATCAAATTTTATTACACACATTTATAGAATACAATAACTTTCAGTCAAGGGAAAAAGTCACAAAACAAGTAATAAAAACATTTTGTTAAAGTAAAATAATGTAGGGATGGCAGTACCAAAAAACGAATGTGAACAAGAATATAAGGATTATACTGATATGTATATATAGATTATCCCTACATGTATAATGCATACTTGACTTTAATATTCCTGTAGTTGGAAGTTATATGTTCCTGACTGTTGATATGCAGTTTGATTATCATAATATCATGGTCATGTCAGGGTAGGCATCAATGTAGTGTAACTCACAGCCTAGAACTTACGCATAAGGAAAAGAAGTTGAGTTTAAGCATGTCTTGATTATTACATACTCTAGCTACGAAGTCGGTCTAATTGACCGACCTCGTAACCATTTTATACACATGCATTTTATTACAGTGTAACATTAAATTTTAATATTGAAAGTCGTATAAAGATGATCTATGTATAGCTGTATCATCCATATATTCTAGTTTGCATTCTTTTTGGCACTGCTATCCCTACATCATTTTACATTTACGAAATGTTTTTTATTAAATGTAATAAACGAGAAAAACTGACAAAAAGATAACAGTTGCCACTAAACAACTGTTTCGTAGCTAAAGAAAGTCAAAAACGTTTTGCCTGAGATTGGCATAGAGTTTAAAGATGCAGATAGAACTTACTCAACTCAAGAAGCATTCAAAAATAAAACACAAAATTAACTGTCTTTCCTACTGCTCCAAATTATCTCAGACAACTTTATAGAGGAATAGTGTCGTACTTATTAACACACGAAAAAATAGAAATAAACC